AAAGTAACATTGTGCATTACATCAATATCAGTAATATCAATAATATCAGTAATATCAATATAAATAGCATGAATAACATGAGTAAAATGGTAATAGTTACAAGAGTGCATGTTGAATATCCATACATGAGGTAACAATCGTTGCATATGAGAGGATAGTGGCATATATTAGTGGCATCAATGTGCCTGGGAGGTCTCGTCATTGGCGACAGAAAGAGAGGAAGAAGAAAAAAAAAAAATACATGAAAAATAAAAAGACAAGAGGTAAACATAACAGTGATACATTGCTTATTTTATTGGAATTCTTGTTGTGTTTTTATGATTAGGATAATGTAAGAGGTGACATAAATTGATATCCCATTATACATTATAGAGGCTAAGTAGGCAATATTACCTATTCGATAGGAAAGTAAAGCATCCAGTAGAATTATTATTATTTTATCATTTATATAGCACCAGCAAATTCCATAGCACTGTACAATGGATGGACTAACAGACACGTAATTGTAACCAGACAAATGGATGCACAGGAACAGATTGATTGAGGGCCCTGCTAGAGGGAGTGGGGAATACTGACAAGTAGGGGTAATGAAATAGGTTGCTAGAAACATATTCACTGAGAATGTCTTTTTTTCACAGTTGCAGTAGAGGAGTCATGGGGGGAGGAATAAAAACCCGATAACAGTTTAAATGATATACCATCCTGAAGAAGTGTGTTTTCAAAGATTTTTTGAAGGAGTGGAGACTGGGTGAAAGTCTCCACTCCTGGGTGTTCCACAGAAAAGGTGCAGCCCTGGAGAAGACTTGGAGGTGAGCATCAGATGTGGGAGTACGGACAGAGGATAGACGTAGGTCTTCGGCAATAATGTATAAATAACTAGCCATAATCTATACTTGGGGAGATTAGGTATCCTACTTTTGGACATATAAATTTGAGCTGTTAGGAGTCTTACCAAGATTAGATGTATGATTTATGCCATGGCAAAGCACCCAAATAGGCTCCCATTACTTATTAACCTATATATATATATATATATATATATATATATATATATATGACTCCCTATGCAACCATTGCTATACATTCTATTCATAACACTTCTACACCCTATACTTGGAATTTATGCATACATTTCCTTCAAATAATTTTATTTTTATCATTGGGTATATATTCAGATAGCTAATTTAATGATCTTCAAATGATACATCAATCAAGAGTATGAACATGCTGTGCCCAATCTTGATATTGAGCGGTACTGGTGTACACAAACGTCAATGTGTACCTCTAATGATAATCTATAGAGAGAACATATACTACCTTTCACTGGTGTTTACATATTGACATTTGAGCACTTGGCGAATGATACGTAGTGGCTGTTGGAGGCTCCACCCTCTCCCTGGATCTGCACAAACCTGAGATTGGTTTAAGATC